TGTCAACAAAGGAGAAACTGTTTGAAATTTGGGAGACAGGGAGTATTTGGAGAAGTCTGGGCAGTATCTAGTGGGTTCTGGGCGAAGCAGGTGTTCAGTGGCTGAATGAAGAGCTCCACCTAATTGTGTCTGAATGTCTTTGGAGGATTCCAGGCAAGACAAGGCTCTAGCATAATTCCAAGGCAATAAATTATGGAATAGGTTTTGAGCAAAATAACCTAACTGGTTTGGGTTCTGTCCTATCCCATGAACTCCGTCCTTCTTTCCTCCTCAGCGGCCAGGGCCCACCCACAAGTGCCTTCTGACCACAGGTTCTTGCTCTGGCCCCCTTCACACGCCACAGAGCTGCCCTCAAGGCAGTCTCTAAAGACAATGACCTGCACACAGAATCTAGGCCACCCTTCCTACTCTCTGCCTCATCAGCTCTCATGTGTCCACTAAACTTTATCTCATCTAATAGTCGCCAGGAAAGTAACTTGATTACCGATGACCTCGCGTAAATGGTGTACGTGCTCGAGAAGGTACTTGTTAATATCAAAGGCCAGGGGCATTAATAATTGAATTTCGCCAGAGATATTTAGAACATTCTCTGTGGCATATCTCAAATTATACAATGACAATTCATATCACTATTAAAATATTTTTATTAAGTAGATGCTAAAGGTAAGATTGAATTTTAGTTTATTTTTTTTAATTAATTAATTTTATTTTTTTTTAATTTTCTTTGTTTATTTTTGAGAGAGACAGAGCATGAGTGGGGGAGGGGCAGAGAGAGAGAGGGAGACACAGAATCTGAAGCAGGCTCTAGGCTCCGAGCTATCAGCACAGAGCCCGACGCAGGGCTCAAACCCACGAACAGTGCGATCATGACTTGAGCCGAAGGTGGATGCTTAACCAACTGAGCCACCCAGGAGCCCCTTTAATTTACTTTTCTAATGTTTATTTATTTTTGAGAAAGAGGGAGATAGAGCATGAGTGGGGGAGGGGCAGAGAGCAAGGGAGACACAGAATCCAAAGCAGGCTCCAGGCGTCGAGCTGTCAGCACAGAGCCTGACACGGGGCTTGAACTCCCAAGCTGTGAGATCATGACCTGAGCTGAAGTCAGACGCTGAACCGACTGAGCCACCCAGGCGCCCCTGAATTTTATTTTCAAAGTGACATGGGGTTAGAAAGTTTTAACCATTTTGTTGCATTGTCACCGTGCTGAGGAAAAGTTTAAGTGTGAAGAACTATCAATGAGAGCAGTCTGCTTGGTAGATAGCTGAATTTGAGAGACTGGCAAAATGGCAGAGGGATTCCTTCACAATGGGTGCATCTGACTGAGGTCCTTCTGCGTATCAAGAAATGGGGTCAGATAGGGAGGATGCTTACTTGTGCTGTTGCAAATACTCCCTGTCATGTGGATAGCCCATTTGAAATTTGCTAAATCAGTAATGGTTTCTCCCCGAATTCGTATAAAGATCTAGAATACTAAGGGCTAAAAGCAGATTCCCCTCATCAAAGTAAATTACAACTTTTTTTTTTTTTTTTTTTTTTTTTTTTTTTTTTATGTCTGAACGTAACACGATGAGTGGGGTTTGAAAACAGTCGCTGTCAGGATCGGGTCTGCTGACCCCTAGAACTTTCTCTGGGTCGTCTCTGTGGTGTGGAGAAAATTGTAATGACTTCGACAGCATTCTCAGGAAACAGCCCAGCATCCTGACCTGCCTTGCCTCTTAACTCTAGCTGCTCCTATAGGAGAACTCCGTTCACGACAAAGAAATTGCAGTGTTTTTTTTTTTTTTCCTGCCTTTGTCATTAGTCACCTGGCAAATAATTTGAAACTGGCACCGAAGGGGGACCCCAGATTCAGCACTTCCTTTTGAACTTTATATTCCACAATTTTGTCATTACAGTGCTCAAATTCCCATTTTTAATAAAAAATGGAATTTCACATCCAGTGATACAGTCACCATTGGTTGCTAGAGGGCAAGAACATGCAAAAAGACATACAGAAGTAGGCACATCGCAAACGATTTTTCGTGACGGAATGGAAGGTGATGAGATGATTATGAATGCATGGAGGCATTTTGAAAGCTGGGTTTTCATCCTAAGAAACGTGCATGTTACACATAGAATGTCCAGCCAACCCACAAGTCTTAGCCTCTATTATTTAATGGTAAAAAATTGGGAAAGTGCTCAAATTAACACAACATATGAGACAAGAGATTAATAAACATTTTTGTCAAGTCATTTTGACGAAAGGTCATCCATAAAATTCTTTGTCCATTGGGTAATCTGAGAAATGGTTAAGACTCATTAAACTAGTTTGTTTATAATCTGGCATTTAGTGTAAAAGACCATCTCTTTTAGAAAACGTATCATGCACATGGTTGGCCAGTCAACGAATCAAATGCAGGCATCTAAACAGAATCTGAAGGCTTTTCTCTGGATAAGTTGGAATAAATGATCAATTCAACATGGTGGGCCACGGCAGGGGCACAGGGCACGGTGGGTTCAGGGCAGAACTCTCACAGCTGTAACTTGTCTCCCTGAAACGATTCCATTATTTAGAAATAAATTTTGCACATCATCAAATTTGCTCCCTTACGGCTTGTATTAATTGAAAATTCATTCACCGATTAGCATGCTGTTGAAGGTGTTTTTCAAATAGCTTGTTTGTAACAGTCGCTGGCACTGCTGGAATTTGAACTGCATGCCATTTCAAATAAAAACCTTTTCTTTTTTTTTCTCTTGGCAGTGGAAGAGAGCAGAGTCACACAGTAGCTCTTGATTTATGAACTGCGTTTTCTTATTCTCAGACCTCCACAGGGTGTGCGGGTCCCTTTCAAAGGAGCTGGGTTGGGGGCCTTTAACAAGGAAGCGATTCTATCTCCAAATCGACTTTTTAATTTCCAATCATACGTGCCTTTGATTAGAATTGGTCCCATTCTCATGCCTCCGGTGATCGGCTGAGAGAATGGAGACGGAGAAACCTTCGGCAGCTTTCTTCTGTTAGGAAAGTGTCACTCAGTTAACAAATCACACAGGAACCTAGGTATGCGTTGCAAACAAAATTTGTGGAAATATTTTATGTTCACCATTCCGGTAAGCATTTTGTCAGCCCTGGGTCACATCCTGAGATTAGGCAATTATCTCTCCAAAAACCCGATTGGGGATAAAGAGGGGATATTATGACTCAAAACATATCTGGAGGACAAGTGGGCAGAAGGCTCAGGCGGGGGGCATGGGGATGGACGGAGAGAAACGTGTACATGCTTTACAGGATGTTTGGGCTGAAAGCAGAGTTCATCCTCACGGTGGTCCCCGAAACAAAGTGTTTATTGTCCAGTGGGCCTGATCCCTGGAGAAGAAGAAAAATGATTCCTATTGACTGGAAGGAAATTAACTCTTTGCTCCCTTTTGCAGGGAAGGTGTTGGATAAGTACCTAGTGATTAATTTCCTTCATTGGTTTCACGGGGAGGGGTCTCGATGTCCGCAATAGTGTTACTCTCACTGCATTTTCTATACAGCAGTGGCTGGATTCTCTACTGGGAATCTTTTCTCCCCCTTATCCTCCCTGCCCCCAACTGGCACAGGCAGATTATGGGGAAAGCATATTCTAATAATTAATACACCATTAAATTGGGCTGCAGTGACTTTTTGTTTCTGGCATAGAAGTAGCTGAAGGCCATTTAACACTGAAGTTTTAAAACTTACTTTCAGACTTGAGCTGGGAAAACCACTGGCCTATTCCACGGATGCTAAAAGCGGTAAGAACTGTATGTTCTACCCTGATCTTTTAAAGACTGAATTGGGAGGGGGAAAAATGATTTTGCTTACAGATGGCTGTGAAAACATCAGAAATACATGTCAGAGCTGGAGAGAAGGGTCCAATTGTAGTAAGCTCCCTTTAAGAGGGAAACAAGATTAGAACTTTGGCAAATTTTTCGGCTTCTTTTGAGAGGGAAAGAGAAGAGATTGCAGTGTCCAAAAAAAGAAGAGGAAAAAAAAAAAAAAGGATGGATGTCATGAGACAAAAGCAGAAGCAATTTTATACCTTATTGAAAGCTTACCTGGGCGTGGTTTTAACTCCTCTGGGGTTAAGAATTTTTTTTTTTTTTTTTCTCCTCTTAAAACTAAAGGGGCTAGGGGAAAGGACTTGAATCTGAAATAGCATCCCTGTCAGTTCTGTTCTGTCCTGGGAAGTATACAAGGAAGCAAAACCTCTGTGGAAGAGAAGGGAGGCATCAGGCGCTGGAGGTGAAAGTCTGCGGCAAAGAGTATGTAAGTTACATGTTAGCATGAAGGTGGTGATGCTTCATTGCGTCCTTTTTAGAAAACCCATCTGGGGGTGCCTGAGTGGCTCAGTCGATTAAGCGTCTGACTTAGGCTCAGGCCGTGATCTCCCCGCTTCTGAGCTGGAGCCTGCACTGGGCTCTCTGCTCTCAGGGCAAAGCCTGTTTCAGATCCTGTCTCCCTTCTCTGCCCCTCCCCTGCCTTGCGTGCCCTCTCTCTCCTTCTCTTTTAAAAATAAATAAAAACATTAAGAAAAAGGAAGAAGAAAAACCATCTGACTTAAACAGAAGGCTGATAAGGCTGCTATTCAAATATGTGAATTGTGTTTTGCCTTTTTACATTATAGATGGCTTTGTTTTCTAAGTGCCCTCATGTCAGAAGAGCCAAAAAAAAAAAAAAAAAAAAAAAAAAAAAAAAAAAAAAGACCAAGACTTTTGTTTATATCAGGTCAGAAAAGGTAGTGAGTCTTCATTTGAGATAATCATAGTGTTTACCCAAGCCTTGTGCATATATAAAAATGTTATTTTCTCTAATTACATATTTTGTTCCTATAATGACTGAGCTGAATTCTAAACTGAAAGGAGTAATCAATACTGAATGTCTCTGCCGTTCAAATGAAGTCTTCACCATTTCAGACGGCATCAAATTGCTTCAAATTTGGCAAATTGCTACAAAGATGGAAATTAAAATCTAAAGCTGAAGTGTATTTAATTTTCTTTTTTTGCAGATCTTAACTGAAAACTTAAATCAACAGATAGGAATAGAACTATTACTATTACGAAATCCACCTGGATGCTTGAAGGACATAGGAAAGGATGAGCTATTACGGCAGCAGCTATCCGATTGTAAACGTGGACCCCAAATACCCAGGCTACCCCCCAGAGCACATCATAGCTGAGAAGACAAGAGCCAGAAGACGTCTGCTCCACAAAGATGGCAGCTGTAATGTGTACTTCAAGCACATTTTTGGAGAATGGGGGAGCTACGTGGTTGACATTTTCACCACCCTCGTAGATACCAAGTGGCGGCACATGTTTGTGATATTTTCTTTATCCTATATTCTCTCCTGGTTGATATTTGGCTCTGTCTTCTGGCTCATTGCCTTTCATCACGGTGATCTGTTAAATGATCCACACATCACACCTTGTGTTGACAACGTCCATTCCTTCACAGGGGCGTTTTTATTCTCCCTGGAAACCCAGACCACCATAGGTTACGGTTACCGCTGTGTCACTGAAGAATGCTCTGTGGCCGTGCTCACGGTGATCCTTCAGTCCATCTTGAGCTGCATCATAAATACCTTCATCATTGGAGCCGCCTTAGCCAAAATGGCAACCGCTCGAAAGAGAGCCCAAACCATTCGGTTTAGCTATTTTGCACTCATAGGGATGAGGGACGGGAAACTCTGCCTCATGTGGCGCATTGGTGACTTCCGACCAAACCACGTGGTAGAAGGCACAGTGAGAGCCCAACTTCTCCGCTACACAGAAGACAGCGAAGGGCGGATGACGATGGCCTTTAAAGACCTAAAGTTGGTGAATGATCAGATCATTCTTGTCACACCAGTAACTATTGTTCATGAAATTGACCATGAGAGCCCTCTGTATGCCCTTGACCGAAAAGCAGTGGCCAAAGATAACTTTGAGATTTTGGTGACATTTATCTATACTGGTGATTCCACGGGGACTTCCCACCAATCCAGAAGTTCCTACGTTCCCCGAGAAATTCTCTGGGGCCACAGGTTCAATGACGTCCTGGAAGTTAAGAGAAAGTATTACAAGGTGAACTGCTTACAGTTTGAGGGGAGCGTGGAAGTCTATGCCCCCTTCTGCAGTGCCAAACAACTGGACTGGAAAGACCAGCAGCTCCACAACATGGAAAAAACCCCTCCGGTCCGAGGACCCGGCCCGTCAGACACCAAGGTCAGAAGAAGGTCATTTAGCGCGGTTGCCATTGTCAGCAGTTGTGAAAACCCGGAGGAGACCACCACCTCGGCCACGGATGAGTGTAAGGAAGCACCTTATCAGAAAGCTGTCTTGACTTTAAATAGAATCTCTGTAGAATCCCAAATGTAGTTCAAATTGTGATCACAAGGGCTCCCACCCAATCATTTTACTCTGTAGCCAGTCACCTTGAGGCGAGTAGTTATACAGGGGCTTTTAAGGGATGTTATAGCTATGTGCCATGGTGATGGGGATAAGAAGAACATGTTAAATCTGGTGAAAGATCATCTAAACATGACATAGTACCCAATTGTTTAAACTCTTTTTTTCTTTGCTAGCAAATTTTGTATTAGGGATGCTATTAAGAGCCTACTTGATTAGTTTAAATTTCATCTCCTTTTATTACACCATATAGTTGTATCTTCAATAGGGGGTATGGTATTCAGTAATGGAGACAAAGGTAGGGTACTGGAATAAATAAAAATAGGAAGATGGGCAGCCAGCATAAATAACAAATTTTTTACATCGATAGTAGTTTCCCATAAAAGCATCTTGTCATCCAACCAAGGTATGTGAGAAATGCATCCAGTAGATTGTAACCTTAAGATATTTAACTGAAGTCACCTGGCAGGTTTGATGTTTGCCCCTCGTAGTGTCTTGGTATCAGCAGAAAGAAGCAGTGGCAGTCAGAAATAGACACCTGCCACTTACCCAGGTGATGATCGTTGAGTGCTAGAAGTTGGTTTGTTTTGTTTTGTTTTGTGTCTCACTGATAAAGCAGAAGAAGAGTGGACATGATTCAGAGCAGTATTTCTCTCTAAAATGCCTTGGTTGACTGCAACAAAGAAAGGGCTTTATGTAGAAGAGCAGAAATAAGGCAATGAAGGATAAGGGGCTTCCTTTGCCCACCTCTCGTCTTCTCTTGGAAGATGGAGCTGTTTTGTGTGTGTGTGTGTGTGTGTGTGTGTGTGTGTGGCATGGGGGGTGGGGAGCATAATGGAGGGAGGGCAGGGGAAAGATACTTATGTGTGCCCAGAAGCAGTTAGGTATGCTTCCTGTCTTGGTCACTTTACAAGACATAAATGACTTGAATTCTAGATTTTAAGAAACTCTTCCTTTGAACTTGGAACAATCATGTAGATAGAAGATTTTGTGAAATAGAATTAATGTGATTTTTATGCATATTATTAAATGGATAAGCTAAGTGCTATGGAATTGCTTAAATTTTAGGACGAGATAAATTTGTATGCCCTGTTTCTGTGTTAAAAGATGTTAATCATAGTTACTTTAAGCCCAATCCCTTATGAGTAAAAAGACACTTTAAGCTTTCTGAATCGAACAGTTAAAGGGTGACTGGGTGGTTCAGTCGGTTGAGCGTCCGACTTCGGCTCAGGTCATGATCTCACAGTTTGCGAGTTCGAGCCCTGCATCAGGCTCTGTGATGACAGCTCGGAGCCTGGAGCCTGCTTCAGATTCTGTGCCTCCCTCTCTCTCTGCCCCAAACCACTCGCATTCTGTCTCTGTCTCTCTCAAAAATGAATAAACATTAAAAAAAAATTTAAATCAAACAGTTATTAGCTGCATTCAGAGTTATCTGTTTTCTTTCTTTCTTTTTTTACGTTGCTGCTGAGCTGACAATAAGTATATGCCCCAGTGTTTCTTTGTTTATTTTATTTAAATATATGTACACACACAGTTTTTGCTTTCTCTGGAAAAGCTCCCTATCCCCCTCTCTCCATTTAAATTAAAGCACACAAGTAAATTGAACTGAATCACATAGTCTGTGCTTACCAATAAAAGTGAAATAGGTAGGTATGTGAAGTGTTTTTCTTTTTTTTCTTCTTCTTTTTTCTTTTTTCCATCCTCCCTTCCTCCCTTCCTTTTCCTCTTTTTCTTTTGACTATGAGCAATGAAGTTACTTTCTAAAGGCACATGTGCAAATCTTTTATTCCTGTTGTTTTATGGATAAGAGTTTTGCTCAGGTCCCAAGTTGTAAAACTGTCCTGAAGCTTAATATCAGAGATCTAAAGAATGCAATTTTTTTCCTATTTGGCTTCAGAAATGCAAAACCCATTTTTAAAATTACACATGCATTGCAGATTTGGATTTGTAGCCGCGATTACTCAGCTAAATTAGAGTACTACGGTCTACCAAGTAGCAAACAACCAGCACCACGACAGATCCAAATGCCCTTCCCCTGACTTTTTAAGCTCGTTTCACACACATCTAGTTTCACTTCATTTTGCCTTGCTTCCTAGACTCTGCCTAGCCATGATTCTGGTTTTGTTAGTATCAGAATAGACGTATCAATGAGTACATTCTGCTGTGCTCTGTCTCCACCATTAAGACCTCCTACCCAGAATAAAATGTAAAATAGACATTCACATGTAACATTTGTCCCTAATTTTCTGTTTAGATTTATAACATACTTTGATGCCCCAATGAGTTACTTAATAATAAAGATCTCAAAGTAATGCAAAAATTGTGTGCATATGCCTGTATTTCAGATTAGTACAAACTCTGCCGATGTGGTCAGCGTTGGGTGCAGAGCACCAAAAAAAAAAAAAAAAAAGGAGATGCTCTCTTACAGAATTAGAACATAGGCAGAACTATAAACATTTTTATGGGTTTTTAACAGCTTGTAGAACAGCTATATCCGAATTAGCAGTTGTGTTTCTGTAAGCTTTGCAAGAAGTCTCCATGCAAAATGGCATTCTAGTTTCAAAAGCTCTGTCCATGATGAGAAGTAGGTCGAATATTCTTTCTTATGGCAGCTATTTTGTCCCTCAAGATGAAAGTATTCAGTGGACTTAATTAGACGGGAAACACACTATGGCGTCAAGGCATTCTCTGCTGTGTGCCCCACCTGTGAACTTGGCCCTTGAAGAGGGAGGGAGATCTGGGAGAGAGAAGGAAATGCTGTTTCATATACCACCGGCTTATCAAGCACCTTATGCTTTGCACATGTACACTTAGCCCCCACAACAAAACAGTGGGGTGGATATTTTTAATTTCCATAGCATCAAATATCTATCTCATTCTCTGCTTCTTCCTAACTAACCAGTTCCCAAATGGGACAGCAACTTGCCAGACTAAAAAAAAAAAAAAAAAAAATTTTGCAACTATGCTTCCCAGTCTCCCTTGCAGCTAAGGGGTGGCAGGCGGGGGTGTGGGGTGGGGGTAATACTTACTTGGCATGGATCTGGCCCAGGAGATGTCAGTAGAGTTCCTTGGATGTGACCTTTAAGAAAGCTCTCTCGCTGGGTCTGAGGTGGCACACGTCCTTTGACTCCCTGCATCAATCCTTCTCCCCTAGACCTCACGGACACCCCTTAAAGGGACGTCAGGAAAGTAGGAAAGAGGCAGCCCAAGATTGCAGGTCTCCGGACTTCTTCTGCATGAGTGGAAAGAAATGGTTTCTAACTGAACAGTGAGAGGGAAACATAGGAGAGTATGCATCAAGGGAGCACTTGGGTCCAACTTGTACTTGATGGAGTTCAACTTGTACTCCATCTGATGGAGTGGGTCTCTGTGGAAAGCACATATTTTCTGGGCGTTTGAGGAAATGCCAGTATATCGTAAAACAAACACAAAAGAATTACTTTGGGCCTGGAAAGCCCTCTGAGACACTGCCGGCTGAGTGACCTTGATAAGAAGATTGACTAGGAGTGCTCTGGGGCCGCCCTTTATCTTCTTCCTTCCCTCCCCCGGACTTATATCAGTAGGACTTTCACTAGGGCAAGTGACCGAAATCCACAGAGACTCAGGCAAGCAAGCACAAGTACAGCTTGGGAAAAAAAGCAAAATTCTGCTAATAACCCTTCTCAGGCTCCTAGTGAGACCAAACTGCATCAACTTATTCAAGTGGACTCTAAATACAGACCAAGGAATCTAGACCCTTACTTTGGATCTTTGTATTTCATGACTTCTGAGTTGGCCAGGATATGTGTCAAGCAGATTCTCTGGGCCACTCTCTGGGCCTAAATAATGAGGCACCAAAAATTTTATTTTGGCTTAAAATAGTCTGTTGTTTCCATTCATTACAAGCTCTGATTCTTCTGCTTGAATGTTCTGCAAGGCATGTGGATAAGCCCCTCTGCTTTCTTTCTTTCTTTCTTTCTTTCTTTCTTTTTTTTTTTTTTTTTAAGGTAAGCTTCACCTGTGCGTTCCCAGAAACCATCCTACACACCCTTGGTACCCTATAAATCACAAAGCCCTCCCTCAATTCTAAATTTGGTGTGGCCTTTCTTTCCTCTCTCACTTTCATTTTGAAATCAGCAGCGTGACCTATATTCCAGAAAAAAGAACTTGGGGGTGCCACATACAGAATATACAAGGAAGGATAATGACACAGACAACACGGACAGATTAAACCGCAGGGAGGTGTTTGGCAAATTCTCTGCAGAAATTCTCCCGGGCACGAGGCCTTTGAACATGAAAGCTGGTAACTGAGATTCAGTTCAGATAAATCTGTGGGCAGAGAGCAAGCGAGGGCCTCCATTTTCCGGAAGAGGCAAAAATCACGGTTGCCAGGAAACCATCATTGGTCTGCATTGCTTTGGAGCGTTTGTTCAGTAAGAAACCCCTTAGAACCAAGAGGATTCCCAAGTTCGTCTTGCATGGCTCCTACTTTTCTTAAGCAATTTAACACAATCCTTTTAGGACTTGGGCTGTGAATTTGGCAGAGGGCAAGCAGTATCTATCCTATCATATCACCCTGTGGTGCCCCCTTTCCTCGGGAATGGCGGTGCCTGGGGTTTGGGATCTTTTGTGCGGAGACCGAAGGTTTAAGTTGACAAGGCTACACGTTTTGATGTTCAACGGACTCGTAGTTGCTGAGTACCTGGTGGATATTTTTAAATAAACTGAGCTAAATAAACTATTGCCCTCTTGTTGTTTGGTCTCATTGATTTATGCTATTTTATAAATACTGCACAGTGAAAGAATGCTGCATCTAGAGTCTATCTGTCATCCTAAGAAAAAGGAGCTGGACTGAGATTAAGGAGCTTCTAAAAAAAAAAAAAAAAAAAAAAAAAAAAAAAAAAAAAAAAAAAAAAAAAAGGCAACCCAAGCTGGGTAATCACTGAACTCAGGCCCTGGATGCTAACTTTGGAGCCTCTGTAGGCTGCAGA